ACAGCTACAAGATAGCAATTTTATACAATTATTAAAATAATGATAAAGAAAAAATGTATTCTATAAAATGTTAAATAGGGCAGGAGATAAAATTAGTTATAATTCAAATGCATACACAATTATTTTTAAGGTATGCACAGAAAAAGGACAAATAAAACCTATTATTAATTATACTAAGAATTCAGGGTTAATGAGTAATTTTCTTAATCTTTCTGCTCTTTTTCCAATTTTTATAAATGTTTAATAAAACTTGTATAATGAATAAACAGTATTTGTGAAAACAAGTAAAAAACTTAATTTGGAAATAGTAATTAAGAGTAGGGAGGGCATAATCAAATTATTTCTATAATTATTCTGATTCAAATAAATACCATAGATCATAGAGTAAAATTCAATTTAAAAGTAGATACATTTAAAAAGTCAAATATTTTTTTAAATATGTGCAAAGATCTTGTTATAAATCAATTTGACCTAAAAACGTTTCATTCTATACAGATGAGTAGTAAAATTTAGCTATTTTATAAAGTTTAGACATTTAAAAAAGAACATGAGATTTAATTTAGACATTTTTAAAAAAGAATATTAAAATGGCCTTCCTACTCTCTCATACATACAATTAAACTACTTGGCAGTTTCTATGATATAATTTCATAATGATTTTCACAAATTATTACATTCACGAAAATACCATTTGTCTTTTCTTCTTTCTCTATTTTATATACAAAAGCAGATTTAAAATTCTGGAACATGAAAAGTTCTAAAGTAAAGAAAAAATATAAAAAATAAGAATTTATCCAATAATTCTTTTCCATTATATAATAACTAGATACACACTTTTTGATAATTTATGTTTTCTTATGCTACTACTTGTAGCATAAGAACCAGAAAAAGGGCAAAGATTTATTTCTCTTGGCAAAGATTTGAGGAAGATGAAAATGAACAGAATGTTAGAAATAGAACAAATTATCCCAAGCATAAGAACCCAAACTATATTATCAATCAGAAATTAATAATTCCTATAAAAATTCACCTGAATAAGCAAAACTAAGCACTTAGTACTTTCATAATAAATAAGAAAAATATTGAGTCATTTACTACTCACCAGACATTGTAACTAGGCCTTTTATAAATTCATTATCTAATTTAATATGCTCATTATTTACCACAGGATTGACCACATTAAGACCACATTATAGGAGGATTTTGCACATGTCTATTTACTCCATTAAATGGTAACTTCCTTGAGACAAGAATATTTTACTCATTGCTTACTCCCAACACTTCTTGACACAAGGTCCACATCAGGTGCTTAATTCATGCTAAATGAATTTAATTCATTATACATCCCAAATTGTCTAAGACAGTCCTAGTCTTGTCTGTATCAGCATAATTAAAAATAGTGTACCCTTTCACTTTCAAAGTGTCCTGATATGGACAATAAATTACCTGAAAATACTAACTGCAGACAAGTTAAAATTCTTTCTAAAATTGCCAGTAAAATTTCCAGAACGCAAATGATGAATGGGCTATGGCAGTGAGCACTGTCAAATGGAGCAGCAGAGGTGAAAAGGGCAGGTGAGACGCAGAAACATGGAGCACCAGAGAACACCGAGCTATCTCATCACCTCCACTGCTTGGTCTCAAGAGAAAGCAAGTCCTACATGTAGAGATTCTTCCAAAGGTTAGTTCTCCACGTAGACCAGCACTGAAGGGTCTCTTGTTTCAACTGGGGATGCAAGGAATTCAGAAGGCTTATACTGTATCAAGCGTTACATTTCTCTATCTCCATGTCGACCAAAGAAAAACTGGGATGAATCTCTATATCCAAAAGCACCTTATGAGACAGCATCCATTTATTTTTTTTTTAATGGTATAATGGGAAAGGTTTCATATGATTCTTCTCTTTCTACAAAAGAAAGATTTTATAAGACCAACCTTCAGGAAAAACAATAAGCCATTAATAAGGTTTCAATGACCTCTGAAATTAAGTATTTTATTGATGTATAAATACACTTAATTAAAACATATTTTGTTATGGGGTGAACTGTGTCACTCCCAAAACTGTTATGTTAAAGTCCTAACTCCCAGTACCTCAGAATGTGACTGGATCTGGAGACAGGGTCTTTAAAGAGAAAATTAAATTAAAATGAGGTCAGATGAGTGAGACCTAATCCAATATGTCTGGTGACCTTATAAGAAGAAATTAGGACACAGATACACACAGAGGGAAGACCATGCGAAGACACAGGGAGAAGACAGCCACCTACAGGTCAAAGAGAGAGGCCTCAGAAGAAACCAACCCTGCCAACACCTTGATTTTGGACTTCTAGCCTCCAGAATTGTGAGAAAATAAAACTATGTTGTTTAAGTCACCTGGTCTATGGTGCTTTGTTACGGCAGCCACAGCAAACTAATACACATTTCTAAATATATGTCTGAAATATATCAGTAGAAAATAAAAAAGAGTAAAGAAAATAAACAAGATTAAAATATGCAAAACATGTTTTACATGGTCTAAGTGATGAATTTTTAAACTGCTGAATATTTTTCACATAGGAATTTAAGGGTAATTTCAGTGCTCAACAAGAGCCTAGTTGTCTAATTTCAAGCAAACAGATAACTGTAAGAAGTAGAATCTAATCCTGATGAGTTGAAGCAAAATTCAGAATTTAAGTAAATTCTGGATCTCTCCAAATTTCCATAACTTACCATACTCCATATAAATCTGCATAACTCAGAAAAACAATATTTTGCAAACAACTAATGCAAATTACAAAATGATGCGCGGTAAAAAAGAAATCCATTCAAAGGGCTAAAAAGGCCATTGGATTTTTACATGACAGAGAACAACGTATTCACTCACATGATTGCAGATTCCACTTGCAACTAAGCTTCAAGAAACTACCACTTGTTGAGCTTTGGTATAGCATCAAAGAATAATATTCACAAGTATCTGAACAGGCTATTAAAATACTCCTCCCTTTTCAAATTGTCTATCAGTGTGATGCTGGATTGTCTTCATACATGCCAAACAAAGCAACATGTTACAAAAGACTGAGTGCAAAAACAGATGTGAGAATGCAGCTAGTTTAAGGCAATCTTTAAAAACTTTGCAAAATTATAAAACAATGCCATTCTTCTTCTTGATGTTTTTGCTTTGGAAAATACATTTTTACACAAATTTTTGTTATTGATGTAAACATGTGATAGACTCATTACTGTTATTTGCAAATGAATTGAGTTTTTAAACAATTTCTCAATTTTAATTTCTAATGCAGTAAATATCAGTAGCTATAACCTACATAAACAAAAACTCTTTGAAGTCCTTGTTGTGGACTGAACTGTGTCCCTCTCCCAACCCATTTGCTGATGCTCTAACACCCAATATGACTGCATTTGGAAGCTAGGCCTTTAAGGAGGTAACTCAGGTTACCTGAGGTCATAAGGGTGGAGCCTTAATCTATAGGACTAGGTCTTTACAAGAAGAGGAAGAGACACCAGAGACTCCCTCTCTCAGTGCACAAAGAGGAAAGGTCAGGTGAGGGCACAGCAAGAAGGTGGCCATCTGCAAGCCAGGAAAAGAAGTCTCACCAGAAACCAACCCCGCTAACACCTCGCTCGTAGACTTCTAGCCTCCAGAACTGTGAGAAAATAAACAGCTATTACTTAAGCCACTCAGTTATGGTATTTTGTTATGACAGCCCTAGCAAACTGGAGAATCCTCAATATTTTTAAAAGCCTAAAAGGGATCTTGAGATCAAAAATTTTGAAAATCATTGAATTAGACAATACCCATTTGGTGGTGTAAGTTAAAATGTTTGTGAACAGCCTTCTTACGTCATAGTTACAACTTGTAAAAGTAATCATAATTATCATTAGCTATTCAAAATAGAAAGAAACAGGGAGAAAATTAAGGTCGTCTTTAAAATAACCTCACTTTTACTTGATGTATATAATTATACACCATTTGAAAGCACATGCAAATGGTGAAACAAACTGAAAGAATTAATGCAGGCTACTAAAGCATCTGCTTTTCAATTTCAGGAAACCAGGCTTGTCAGTTTGTTTGGCCAGGGTACACTAAGTCGTAGAGTACTTGTTAAGTCTAATAACTCTCTGAATATAAAATCAGACGTAAAACAAAAGAGGAAACTTACAGTTTTGCTTCATGAGAAAAAATAACCAAATTACAAGATATCACAAAGAAGTCAATCAGTAGATTGATGAATACACTAAGCACAATTTTAACCACAGAAAACTTATCAAGAATATACGGAAATAATAAAATAACAGTAAGAAATTGCATTTCTTTTTTGCAAAAGAAATTTTCCAAAATTGTATGCAAAAATAAAAGATTTGTTCCCCTAGTAACTGCAGCTGATACACCAAAAATGGTAATAAAAGCTGTGGAGGTCACCTAAGAATGAAAATTTTAATAGTTATGGGCTTTTAAGTAATTATTAAGTTATAAAAGCTTATCTGAGTGAAAAAAATGCATTTACCTCAACAAGTTTCTGAATTGCATGGACACAAATATACTGTTGGGTTGCTTTTCAACAGCATATAAATTGTGTACTCAAGTACTACAGTTTTATGTATAGTGGTACTCTAAAAATCAAGCAAAATGCTTAATTTCTAAGGCTATAATGTTAGGAATAGCACCCAAAACTATATTTTAGTAAGTTTCACTTCATAAAAAACTTTGTATGGAAAGAAAATACTAATTCAACTTGAGCTAACTTTTCTCCTGGTTCAATGTTAGCATGAAAAAATAATTATGCAGTCCATTTGGAAAAGTATAACCAATCCATGGGCATACAAGTATCAATTTTATCTTAGGTGAATTTCTCCATGTTCCAGTTACTTCATTCCTTATTACATGCTGCAAAAAGCAGTAATAATTTTTATAGCCAAATATCACTTTGTAAGATACCAGGTGGTTTTCAATATTTACCATATAAGTCATGCATGAAATTTAAACATTACAAAAAATGACTTACCAGTTGACACTCCTGAAATATGCACATTTTCAGAATGTTCTGCAAGAGCACCATTTCCTAAAATTAAACATAATGAATAAACTAATTTCCAAGATAAAATTTATAAAAATTTTTCAGATTCTCCCTTTATAAGAAAAATAACTACAGAGAGCTACTTGTAATATTCAGAAACTAAATTAAAGTCTGTTGTAATAATCTTCAAAACAATACTATGAAGCCCAAAATTATAATCGTAGTAAGGAAAACAAAACATTTTGGAAATCACAGCAACAGAGGGTAATACATAAAGGTCAAATATATAGATCTGATTCATACCAGAAAGAAGTGTCTATCAAGTAAATAGTCAAAAGAGAACTCATTACTAGAAAAGACAGAATCATATATTTTTTAAAAACAGCATTCTTAGAACAGCATGCTCAATCGGTCCACAACGTGCTTTCTGCTAGGCTTACACATGTTGGTACTTAAAAAAAATATATCTTGCATTGTCTTCTAAATCTTTCAAATTTTGTGCATCAACAACTTTATTAGTCTTAAGAGTAGGGACAGAATTATATCCTATTTTGGTAGCCCCTGATTTTTATACCTCTTACCACAAAGTTGAACACATGGAAGCATTCATATAACTTACTGAAATGAGTTACTGAGTATCACCTAACAAAAGCGTTGTGTTAAAAAGACTCCCATTTAAAGTACTGAGGATATTTACTCCTTCAAATTAACATGAACAGACCTTTAAGGTATTCTTTTTTTTCTTAGTTCTATTATAAATTATTTCATGTTCCTCTGTTGTTTCTTTTCTTGTACAAATGGCTCATTTTTACTTCTAAAGTTTCGTCTCCCTCTACTCACGAGGTAGATTTGGCATCACAACAGCTCAGGAACCGAGCTGATAGAGAAAGAATTCTGCTTGCAGTGGGGTAGGGGAGGAAGCGAGGTGGGAGAAGCTTAGAGGGCAAAAGCAGAATTCTCTTTGATGCTTGGAAGAATAGAGACAATGGCAAATATTGTAATTAACAACTTTTCTTTCACAATATCACACTTCTATGATTGCTTGATTATTGTATAGCATCCCCCAATGCACTAAGCTCCAGGAGAGCAGAATTTGTGCTTATTTGGCTCACTATTGTATGCACAGTTCCTAGAACAGAGCAGGTGCTCAAAGAGTTGATGAATGAATAAATGAGGGAGGTCATGATGATTAAATGAAATCATACCAATTAAACACTCGATACAGTGCCCAGTACATAGCACTGAACAGGTATTCATTTTTTAACTGTGTAAAATGTATTATTAATATTACTAAAGAATAAATTACTAGTGGTAAAACAAACTTTTTAGTTCAACTACAGCTACAGCCTTCAAAATAAGAATGATACAGTGGAAATGGTGACATAGGTGCGTAAGCTGTATTTGGTACACAAAGAGATCTGATTATAGTCATTTAAGTACTGTACATTAATATCTCAGAAACCAAGATTTATTTTTCCCAGCAATGTTAAATGCTACATAGAACTGAAATTACTAGAAAGCCCCCACCCATTTAACACACACAGCTCATGAAAATTGATAGCATAAACAAAATAATGTAAGAAGCTGATTTAACAAAACAACTAACAAGATTTACTAAAGGTCATTATAAATTGCCTAAACCTTTGCTACTAACAAGTAGATCAGCAGTACCGGCATCATCCAGAGCTTTTTAGAAATGGAGAGTCTCAGGCCCTACTCCAGATTATTGAATCAGAATCTACATTTTAACAAGACCCTCCCCTACTCTCAGTGATCTGAATGCACATTAACGTTTGAGTGGCACTGGCTTAAACCTTCTATTTCTATATTAGATGCAACTACAAACTACAGTTGTGTAATCTGTGACCCTAAAGTTTCCATTATCCTTAAGGTAGTATATTAAATTATCCTCAGGAGAGTTTTAACATTAGATATATTTTACACATTAAAATTTTTTTACAATTCAGTAAACAGAGTAAAGGTAGGCAGAAGGAAATAGTAATATAATGTGGTATTTGGGACTGTGGATTCTAATATGAGCTCCACCACTTACCTACTGTGCACTTTAGGGCAAATTACCTAACCTCTTTGTGTCTTAATTTCATGTCTAAAATGGAGAAGATAGGGCCAGCCCAGCGGCACAGCACTTAAGTTCTCGTGTTCTGCTTTGGCAGCCGGGGTTGGCAGGTTCCAATCCCAGGTGTGGACCTACGCAAGACTTGTCAAGTCACGCTGTGGCAGGCATCCCATATACAGAGGAAGATGGGCAGCAGATGTTAGCTCAGGGCTAATCTTCCTCAAAAAATAAAAATAAATAAATAAATAAAAATAAAAATAAATATAAATAAAATATAAATAAAAATTTAAAAAATAAAAAATAAAATGGAGAAGATAATACCTATCTTATAGGGCTTAGTGGAATTCTTTATAATAGAAAAAAATAAAATTTAATCTAAATCTCCATCAGCATGCAAACTAATAAACTTAAACACCCTTATAATGAAATATTCAATAAACTGAATTAGGTAATTCTATATGTACTAGCTTGGAAAGATATGACATTAAGTTAAATACGTTTCAGAATAATATTAAAATATGATCTAATTTTAACCTTAAAATGATGTATAGTTAATATGCATGTTTACATAAGCATATATGTATGTATGCGCATTTATATAAATATTGAAGAGTCTAAGGTTACACATAAATTGTGAAGGAAAATCTCTGAAACTGAAATTAAAATAGAGGAAGACTTGTTTTGTATACTTTAGAACTAACTGAATTTGTTACAAGAGGCATGGATTTCTTTAAAAACTTTATTCATATTACCAAAAAAAAAAAATAGGTGAAGAGATTATAGTTCATTTCTGACCATTCTGAATAAACGGAAGTCTGACAAATATTGTGCAAAATGTTACAAAACATAATTTAAGAAAAGTATTATTAATGATTTTTAAAACTGATGAACAATACCTTAAAACATCAAACACGATACTGCTAATTTCCCATATATTTACTTTAACTTAAAAACAATCCCATTTAGAAGTTTAAAAAATCAATGATAATTTCTATTAACATCAAGTGACTATCCATTTTTGGTTCCAGCAGATATTTCTTATTCTGAGTATCACCTGAAGTAAGTGGGCTACTTAACTTAGGTGTATTGCCATGCTAAAAAGTATTTTTACAAAGATGCCACTTATATAACACAACTATTTCCAGGTGATAAGCAGACAGCCCTCCCAAACTGCTTTGCTGATACAAAGCTAATTACCTTCTCCCTAATGCCTCTCCCCAACATCCGAGAGAAGACCCTATTAATATGATGATGTACATACACCACCTCCTTACTATAACTACAGTGCAGTCAAGTTATATATTCTCACAGAAGTCACCCTTTACAGGTAGCATATACTGGAAAAATACAGTCTGATAAAACATTACTTCTATAACGATACATTAGCAGCTGACTAATTAGTTAATGGACAAGCTAATTAACTAGAACTCTAAAAAACAGTTTTCAAGTAAGAAAAAGTTTCATTATCATCTGAACCAGGAAATAATTTTTACAGCTTAATTTTTTTTAGTCCCACTAACCAAATACCAAAGGCGATCGGTCGTCCCCATTCTTCTTGCCAAGCTGAAACATGGTTTTATAGATTTTTGATTGCCATACAAGAGAGAAAAAGAATCTTCCAAAAGAGATCCTTTTTTAGGAACCCCAGCTTTACAATTTATTTAATCATTAATTAAACACTTTAATTAAACTACTTATCTTAAGATTTGGTTTACTCATCTGAATAATCAGGGTGTCATCATTAAGAGAATGTCTAAATTTATGGTCTCTGCGTCCCTGTTGCTATCTATCTTTCTTTCTGTTTATTTCTGTTCTTTTTATTTAAGAACTAAAGTTCTTAAAGAACAGCTAATAAATACAGCTAAGATATGATAGCTATGTGCCAGTCAAACCCTAGTGGCCTTACAAGCCTTCCTTCAGTTCATCCTTAAAACATAAGTTCACTTTACAGATGAGAAAACCAAAGCTCCTAGCAATTTAGTAATTTTTGCAAAGAGCTAGTAATTGGATGGATTGAAAATTCAAATCCACAGTCATTAAGAAGATTGTGTTTCTCTTAAAACAGAACTCAGGTTCTATACCAATTCCCATGGCACTGATAAGTTTGTGTTCCTTACTTTTTTAAAAGAATTCAGACATGAATATACTTCTTGTTTATAAAAGAAATAGTACTTAGCTTTCAGAGTTAAAACCCATTTGCCACAACTATTCCGATTTGTATGGGGGAAAATCATTGGTTCAAAGGTAATGAGCAGCAGTTACAAGTGAATTATCTGCTCAGCATCCTACAATCTCGTTCTCACTGTGCAGCAAGAAGTTATCAAACATAAACACGTGTGTACACATATACACATAAAAGCAAACATCATTCTATTTTATTAGTAAAATCGTACTTAAGGAAAAAAGTCCAAAATCCTAATAGGCCTTACCAAACTCTCTACTGTCTGGTTCTTCCTAACTACCTCAAAATTTTCACCTCTTGTGATCCACTTTCCACTTTATCTCTTCTCTCCAGAAATATGGATTTCTTAAGTGTCAGCTGTCTCTTGTGCCTTTGGATTTTCCTTTAATATTACTTCTTTAGAGAGGCATCTCCTGATTCCCCCACACTGTTAGGTCATTCTGTTACAGGCTTCTATGGCATGCAATTCTGTCACCTTTTCTAAATTCATCACACTTGTGTTATCTCGTGTAATGTCTATATTTCCCACAGGATCTTAATGCTGGCGGGGGGCGGGGGGTGGAGGTTGATGGGGTGATGGGACATAGCTGGGTCTGTTTTGGTTTGCAACCCACTGAGTAGCACAGAACATAGCACATAATAGGAGATACTTAGTCCATATCTGCTCAAGTAAATGAATGAATGGTAAGTCAATACATAAGTAAGAGGAATAGTCCCTGCTCGCAAAGAGTTGACAATCTATTGAAAAAATGATAAAAAAATATATGAAATAGAAGCAAACAACAG